AAAGACAAAGTTTTTTGCAAATCTTTCAGTAGCTAGAGCACAAAAAGAAATTGAAAATAGGTGAAATCATATAATAAAATTAGAGGATAAGCCCAGCAGGTTCTCACATCTAATTAATAGGATCTGCAGAAAAAGAGTCACAGAATAATACAAGAAAAAATTCCCCAAATAGTGAACATGGTATTTATATAAATAAAAATAAACCCATACCAAGACATGTAATCATGATACACTGGAAAACTGAGAACAGAAAGATAATCCTAAAGCCCTCTAGAGGAGTGAGAATACACAGGACTGTTCACACACAGGATCAAAGATCAAACGCCTTCAACCTTCCAACATCCATAGTAGATACTAAAAAACAATTGAACAATCCTTTCAAAGGGTCTGAAAAAAAATTATTTACAATCTAGAATTCTACCCAGTCTAATTATCGTTTATCAGTGAAAAAAGACCAAACTAAAACTATAGTAAATAAGACATTTGACACTGACAAAGAGATAGACAAGTTGAAAAACAGAACAGAATACAGAGATCGCATGCATATTGGTTTCTGCATCTAAAACAATAACTGGCAAATATCAGGCACTCAATATATATATCATGAATGTTGATTGATTATAAAGTTGGTACATGGGGGAGGCACTATTGTAGGTCAGTCAGTGCACAAAGAATGGACAGTCAAACAAATAGTTGGGAAAATTATTTGTATGGAAAAAAATAAATCCAAGTTAGTTACTTGTAAGTGACAAAGATTAGTAAGTTCAAGGTGAAATAAAGACAGCTAAAAAAGTAAACTTTTTTTGGAAAAAACACAGGATGATTTTTTTTAACTTCACATTCATAAAGATTTCTTAAACAAAACATAAAAAATTATGACCTATAAAAAAGATTAAGTCTTGCTACAATAAAATTGTAAATTTTTATTTATTAAATGGCACCTTAAAGAAGGTGGATGGCAAGTCTCAGACCCAGGGAAGATTTGTACATGTATAGTAATGAAATTAGTTTCCAGGATATCCTGTGTTCATAAGCTGGGAGAATTAGTATGGTTAAAACATCTGTACTACCCAAAGTCATCTACAGATTTAATGCAATCTCTATCAAAATGCTAACGACATTTTTCACAGAAATAGGAAAAAAACATAAAATTTGTACAAAACCACAAAAGACCCTTATTAGTCAAAGTCATACTGAACAAAAAGAACAAAGCTAGAGGTATCACAATACCTGACTTCAAAATATACTGCAAAGCTATAGCAAATAAAATGGCATGGTACTTGCATAAAAACACACATAGACCAATGGAACATAATCAAATCCCAAAAATAAATTCACACATCTAAAGTCAACTCATTTTTAGCAAAGGCACCCAAAGAACATACAATGGGAAAAGAAGGGTGCAGCCTGCCTCTGAGCTGAGGCCAGCCACGGGATCGCCTGCAGACTGGAAAGAAAAGCTAATTACAGGCAGAACGATAATTTGCGTCAAAATGGAACAAACAGTTGGCAAGCCACTGAGAGACCAGGGTGCATGGACACATTTGACAGAGGACATTCCCAGTGCCAAGAGGTGCACAGTGATCGGCGGTTCCGGGTTCCTGGGGCAACACATGGTGGAGCAGTTGCTGGCAAGAGGATACGCCGTCAACGTCTTCGATATCCGGCAAGGGTTTGATAATCCCCGGGTGCAGTTCTTTCTGGGTGACCTCTGCAGCCAACAGGATCTGTACCCAGCACTGAAAGGTGTAAGCACAGTTTTCCACTGTGCATCACCCCCACCATCCAGTAACAACAAGGAACTCTTTTATAGAGTGAATTACATTGGCACCAAGAATGTCATTGAAACTTGCAAAGAGGCTGGGGTTCAG